GTTAGAACTGAAAACAATCAACAGCAAAGTGTTTAGGCTGACAGAGTTCTTACAGAAAAAGACTCAAAACAAGTTTTGGAATAGCTCGGACTTCTACACATCACCAAGAGGCTATAGGATGAGGCTAAGGGTTGAATGCAGTGGATTTGGTGATGGTAAAGGTCATTACATCTCTTGCTATATTTACCTCGTCCCGGGAGAATACGACGATACATTGGAGTGGCCATTTTACGGAGATGTAACCCTAGAGCTTCTGAATCAACTGGAGGATAGGAATCATAGGAAGGGAGTTATTCGTTATAATGAATCAACACCAGGTCCTGGTAAGGAGAGAGTGATAAGAGGAGAAGTTAGCAAGCACGGATGGGGCTACTCCAAGTTCATACCACATGCAGCACTGAGGCATAATCCTCCACAAGTCTGCCAGTATCTTAAAGATGATAGTCTGTACTTCAGAGTCAGTGCAAAGGTTACATCAAAGACAAAACCATGGCTAGCATTAACATAAATATACACTCTTATGTACTCTTTTTATTATGTATCATTTTCTCTTGAGGGAAGGTGACATATTTTTTAAAATCATACCAAGATGTACTTGCACAATAGTAATGTTTGTATGCTTGTATGACAGTGATAATACTCTTTTATATTATTTTATATAGTACACATACATGTATATCAGGGCTGTTGTCAATTAGTTTGTTTTTTTAATCATTACTATTACCATTACTTTACAAAAATCTTCATTACATTACCATTACCATTACAATTTATAAGTTATACCACCAATCATATTATCATTATTATTAAAACTACCTAAATTACCATTACCATTACTTTAGAAAGTGTATTACATTGCATTACAATTAGCACAAAATTGCAAGAAACTGAAAACTTTTGATTATAATAGTCATTTTATTTAAGAAAACTTAATGTTAATATACATGTAAAGTAGAGTTAACTTTAAAAGGAGTTTTCAAATTTTTTGGTAATAAAAGAGCACATGCTAACTGTCACACTCTAGTTAGCAAGTTAACACTAAGACATAACCAGTGACTGATAGCAAGATACTCTTGCTGATAGTATAGTGATAACACCATAACACAACACACCATCTTACTTAATTATCTATTACAATTACCATTACCTTATCTCTACTATTAATTATCATTTGCCATTACCAATAGAATGAAATTAGCCATTACAATTACCATTACCACTAAAAAGTAGTATTACCTAATTAATTACCATTATAACTATCATTGCAACAACCCTGATGTATATACTCTCAGTCTCTTCCTTATCCTCATTAAAATTATAATTGGCATTATGTATATACTACACCATAACTCTTACTTTACTAATGTTTTATGACTTTATTGATAATGAACAGAATCATCTCTCAAAGTCTTAAAGCTCAATCACAAGCATAGCCATGCAATGCATGAAATACCAATTACATTTATACATAGAATCTATAGCTACCACATGATGCGGTATCTATGCATCTGCATTTCATTTGGTACTATAGCTTGTATGAGTATTATTAGGGTGACAATGGCGGGCAGTGGTAGTAATTGACATAATCATGGGATACTAGAACCCATACC